GTCTCTTGTGTCTTTAGGATTCTATACTTGAGCTTAACAGCTGGGATTTTCAAAGCAGCCACAGGGACTTAGAGTGGGGATTTTCAAAGGCAGGGTGTTTCTCTTGGCCTTGCAGGGGAATGGACCTGAAAGGGTCTCTTAGCACTTTGATGGGACTTGATGCTGTCCGTATATTTACTCTGCAGTTACTGGATGTGTGTTGCTGCTAACCCCGCTGTCTAAGCATCCATCAGATTAACTCTTTATAGAGACCCGGAGTGGTAACGTGTCGAAACTGATGCTTAGAAATCAGAGGCATTCGAGAGTGATGCTCTTCTCCAGCATCAGCAGGCGGTTTGTGGGAGAGTTTTACATGGTCAGTGCCCGGGGTCTGGTTCGCATACTCAGCCAACCAAATAATGTGATGTCGCTCCAGCCATAGGTTGTATGCCAGGGGTGGACAATCTTTTTTTTTTTTTTTTTTTTTTTTAACCAGGGGCCACTTCAGAAATACTGGATGCTTCCCTGCCCACATACCATGATTGATCTGGTGGGGGAGCAGGTGAAGTCTTTGCCCCTCCTCCCCCACCAAGGGTCCCCCTAGGACTCATGCCCCTGGCGGTGGGAGGAGACTTCATGCACTCCCGCTTCTGACCTCAGGCCAATCAGGGCTTGGGGGTGGGGGAGTGTACGAAGTCCCCTCCTGCCCTGCAAGGAGCATTCAGCACTTCTAAGTGCCACGTGCTCCTGGCAGGGCGGAGGAAACTTGTTTGCATGCCGTCAATGTCAGATGTCATTTCTTCAGGGCAAGTAGCCGCTGTGAACACCCCACAGTGGCGCCGCGCAGATCGTCAGTCAAGGGTAGGAAATGCTGAGTCAGCAAACCCAGCAGAGAAACGACCCGTCCGTCTGCACAAACGTTTCTCTTGCGATCCTTGAACGGGACCCTCTGAGGGGCCTGGATCACGTGCGCGCACCTCGCCCGGCGTTTCCTGATGGGCAGCACCACAGGACTCGCCTATGCTAAGGATGTTAAGTATCGAGTAATTGACTGTTCGATTAGTCGATAGGGCAGCTCCGCCTTTGAAGTGTAGCAACAGCCCTAGGATTGACCCCGGGCTGTGTATGGCGCTTGCTGACACCAGGCTCCTCGTGACGTTTCAAGGCAGCAGTGCCGCATGGAGCCCCGGGTCAGCGGGAGAGTCCCCAGCTGATCCTGGGCTCCAGGCCGTGCTGCTGCTTTGAAACGCTGTGAGGAGCCCGGGACACCCCAGCAGGCCCCGAGCTGCATGTGGTGTTTCAAAGTGGCAACGCCGCATAGATCCCGCGGTCTGACCCTAGGCTTCAAGCGGTGCTGCTGCTTTGAAGTACCCCCTCTTCTCTTCCCTCCTCCCCCCACTGCCTCTGTCTGATAGAGGCAGCAAGGGGGGGAAGCGACTAGTCGACTATCCCATAAGCATTTGCTTTATCACCTAGTCGACTAGTCCTTCGCATCCCTAGCCTGCACCCGAGAACAGCTGTTACAGAAGAGAGGGAAACAAACTGGGTGGGACTGAGTCAGCATGGAAATCTTTATCCTCTGGCCTTTAAATGACTCGGCGGGGCCAAGGCCACACCAGGAGAGACAAATGGGCTCCTGGAGCCAGTAGATCTCCAGGGGCCGCCCGGCACATCTGTTCCGTAGACTGTGCCCAAAGCAGATCTAACCCGGAGAAGGGAATCTCTGGGAGGCAGGAGGCACAAACGCACGCGGGCAGAGCTGTGTGCCTTCTACACGGTGGGCGTGAACCTGGCTGCTCAGCCCTCCTTGCAACGGAGCCAAGTGCTCTTGGGTGAAAACCTTCCCAGGGGACGTTAATCCTCCCGCTTGTCGATGGAAAGCACTCTCTCTGCACTTGGCTTTTCGGCGGGATCGTTATCTTGCTTGGGAAAGGCACCAGCGTTACCATGGCGATCGTCGTCGTACTCTTGGCGTTCTCGCCGACATACGTCTGGGCCGACGTTGCTTTCCAGGCTCCGTTTGGCTCCTGCCCCGGGTCTAGTTGCTGAGTTTAAAGTGATGCCCCTCGACCGGACTGTGCCGTGTTCAGCCGCTGGGACAAAGCCGCAACGTGTTTAAAAGCTCTGAAGAGTTTTGGGGGGACTTGACCCAATAGGATTGTAGCTTTCAATGGTGTCTCAGGGGAGGTGGCAACTGGCTGGCTTAGCTTTTGATGTCACAATCTCCCCCCTCCCCTTACTGGTTGGCTTATGGAGCACAGAGATTTCTTAGTGGAGGGCTGGAGCCTTATGCCTCCTCCATAGCAACTTTTGGTCTCGGAAGACCCCCTCCCCGTAAGAGATGGGGAAGTCCTGGTAGGCCAGCGTTGCCCACTGCTTTGGTACCCTGGTGAAGTGCATGGAGTTACAGGCCTAGATGAGCCATCTGGCTGCGGGATCTGTCAGTGGCAGCCTGTGAAAGAACCTTTGTCCCCGCGCAGGGGCTTGGGAACGTTACGGGTAAATGCAGGAACTTCATAACGTGCACAGGTACGCTTGGCTTTTTATCTGTGTGTGCTGTCATCGCAACTCCAGAACCTTCGCGCAGTCAACCTGCGGAACTCCTCGCCAGAGGATGTTGTGAGGCCCAGGACTTTGAACAGGGTTCAGAAAAGAACTAGATACATTCATCAGTACTTATTAGCCAGGATGGGTAGGGATGGTGTCCCTAGCCTCTGTTTGTTAGAAGCTGGGAATGGGTGACAGAAGAAGGATCATTTGATGATTCCCTGTTCTGTTCACTCCCTCTGGGGCACCTGGCATTGGCCACTGTCGGAAGGCAGGTTCTGGGCTAGATGGACCTTTGGTCTGACCCAGTCTGGCCATTCTCGTGTTCTGATGGTCCAACGAGGTCCAGGCCCCCAGCTCATTGGGCACTTGCTGATGCACGAGTTCCTGAAGTGCAGAGCTTAGAGACTAACTAGAGCATATTCACGGGGGGTGGGGTGGGGCGGGGCGTGGATCGTGTCACGTGACTCTGGTCCGTCCCACCTCTGAAGCATTTTGAGGTTGGTTGTGATCCTGCTACCTAGTCTCCACAGCTGTCCTGTAAGGTTCCTGCACGCCCGGCATGGGCAGAGCAGGGGGAAGCCCATGGTATCCCTGGCGAATTCCATGGGGCTGTAACCACGAGCTGAGCCCGGAGGCTGCATAAATGACTCCTTAAGCCAGCTGGAATTGACAGGGGACATGGTTGCTCCTGAGACCAAAGCCTGAAGTTTCACAGGCCTGGCCCAGTATCCTGGATCAGGACCAGAGGAGCTGCAGGAACGTGGGGCCAACTTGCATTGCCGCAGGGCAGGGCTGTGCAGTCGGTATTCCCGGCGTTACAGGGCTCCTGTCTGCAATGATCTCCCTCTGGCTCCCGGGGGCAGAGCGAGCCAGTGACCACAGACAGGGTGTGGCGCGCGCGCTGCTCGGCAGGGCTTAGCAGAGGAGAAGCCACATTTTAACAAGTGAACGGATGGATACTAGACCCTGCAGCTCCCAGACCCTACACCAGAGCTCTGGTGGCCTTGTGAAACCAGCTGTACAGGTTAAACCTCCCTGATCTCCCTCTGGCTCCCGGGGGCAGAGCGAGCCAGTGACCACAGACAGGGTGTGGCGCGCGCGCTGCTCGGCAGGGCTTAGCAGAGGAGAAGCCACATTTTAACAAGTGAACGGATGGATACTAGACCCTGCAGCTCCCAGACCCTACACCAGAGCTCTGGTGGCCTTGTGAAACCAGCTGTACAGGTTAAACCTCCCTGATCCGGCACCCTCGGGGCATGACTGGTCCCATATGAGGGCTTTTTCCGGACCAGGGAGGTCATTTCTGGAACCCTCTGCCCTCCCCTCCCCAGGCTTCTCGGCTCCCCTCAACCTAGCAGGGACACATGTTCCGCCCCCTCCCCTCCCCTCAGCACACCCGGCGGGACACTCTGATCCTGGAACATCGGTGTTGCCAGACCAGAGGTGCAGCCTGTAGAGGTGCAGCCTGTAGAGTCCTGTTCTGTATGTACCTTCTGACTTCAAAACCAACTTTGTATTTGAGGGTAATCTGAGCCCTGTACCCCGATACACAGCCACTCCTTCCTTAACCTGTGTGGTGTGTGCCCTTTGTAACATTCGCTGGAACAGCATCTAAGTCTCTAGCTCCCCACGGTTGACCCTGCTGGCGGAGAGGGGAAGAAGCTTCGTGGGTGAATCTGCACCCTGCAGAGGGTGATCAGAGCGCAGTTCGGGGTGGGGAGAAATGAGGACTAGGGCCAGGACTGGAAGGGATCTGCCTGGCTCACTCCCCCTCCCCCAGGCCTCTGTTACCGCAGACACATCGTCCCACTCACACGCTTACTCCATTTGGGTCCCACTGTCGTCCAGTGCTGTGAGGATTTCCAGATGGATTTCCTACCTGCAGCGGGCACTGATAGCCCCTTGAGGCTTCATCTGAGTCTGCCAGCTTGGTGCGCCAGTCCCCATTCACATACCTAGCTGGGGACAGAGAGATGCAGGGTGGGAGGGGAAACCGAGGCAGAGACCGGCACTAGAACCCCGAGGATCTGAGCATGTCCTTGCTCCTTCCGTGGGCTCTCAGCACCCTGTCTGCCTTCTCCCGCACAAGCCCTTCGGTAGTTACGGCTAAAGAAGCAAGGCAGGGAAAGCTGCATGGAGAGGGGGGTGAGTAATGCCGGGGGGGGAGGAGCGTGCAATTGGTGCTAGCAGGAGAGCGAAACGGAGGAGCGACAGAAGCAGGGCTGACAACACTGTCCCCCGCCCTGTTGCGTAAGGGGGGTTGGAGCCGGTCTGCGAGCCCCTGGCTCAGAATGCAGCCGGCCTGGGTCCGTTTCCAACTCCCAGCTTCACAGGGAGGGACGTCCGACTCCCAGATCAGACTCGGCTCTCTGCTTCCCCGGAGCAGAACGTGAGTGTGTCCTTGTCCCCCCTGCAGTGAGCACCCTACAGGCCTCTGCCTGCCCCTGATCGCCTGCCTTCTCTCTTTCCAGGGTTCTGGCATCGGTAATGAGCAATGGGGTATGATGTAGCGCGCTTTCAGGGCGATGTGGACGAAGACCTTATCTGCCCCATCTGCAGCGGGGTCCTGGAGGAGCCAGTGCAGGTAGGTGCTGAAAAGTGACAGCCAGTCCCCCTCGGCTCTTTGATCGGAGAGGTTTATGGGGGATTCTGTTCTCCGGTTTCATCTCCATCCTAGCGAGGGCGGATGGCGAACGCAGCCACGTGTGTGGGGGCAGAGACGTTGAGTGTACAGGTGCAGCTCTGACTAGGGGTGTAAGCGACTAGTCGACTGTCTGATAAGTGTAAGAGAGGCAGCAAGAGAGGGGGAGCAGGAGTCAGTGCTGGGGTGTTAAAAGCCAGTTCCCCCCAGCACCGTCTCCTCGGGGGACAGGGGAGGCAGAGGCGTCCCTACTGCTGCACCTCTCCCTCTTTGCGCAGGCGGCTCTTGTACATTTCAAAGGGAGAAACGCAGCGTAAGCGACTAGTCGACTGTCTGATAAGTGTAAGAGAGGCAGCAAGAGAGGGGGAGCAGGAGTCAGTGCTGGGGTGTTAAAAGCCAGTTCCCCCCAGCACCGTCTCCTCGGGGGACAGGGGAGGCAGAGGCGTCCCTACTGCTGCACCTCTCCCTCTTTGCGCAGGCGGCTCTTGTACATTTCAAAGGGAGAAACGCAGCCCCCGTACCGAGTAATCGATGGAAATTTCGTTGAGTGCTCGCTTAGTTGATTGATCAAAACTTCACATCCCTAGTTCCGACCCTTCGGGTCGCGGTCTGAAAGCAGCAGCTGGCCCAAAGCAGCCAAACGAGGGTTTAATCGCTGTGCTCTAACACATCCTGGCAGAAATATTGCTGGAAAAGGCTCGTCTCGAAACCTACCAGCTCTGGAGCAGCGTCTGCGTTGGCTTTGAACGGTTCCATATCAAAAACCCTTGTGCATGCAGCGTGGTGTTTCCCGGGGGGGAATCCTGGGATGCTAAAGGGCTTTTATGAGTATTTGCCACTCCCTTCGGGGTGAGCAGACCCGGGCGCTGGGTTTGTCTGTATGGTGCAGGCAGGGGCAGAGACCAACACGTCCGTAGCCGACCTCTCGAAAGAAACCAGGCGCGAGCTCGCCACGTTCAGCCGGGGGTGTTGGCAATAGATCGCACCCACGCGGGGGTAAAAATCCCTCTTCTCAACTTGCGGGCACAGCTGCGTGTGCAGCGGCTCAGCCAGAAAGGAAGGGCGGGCCCTTCCCGGCCACGTGCAGGCTGGGCTTCAGGCTTTGATTTTGGTGGCCTTTTCCCTCGGAGGGCGAGGAAAGAGCCGCGACCGGGCTTTGCTTTCGTTTCTTTTCCCCTGCCCATGATAGGGATGTGAAGGGTTCACCGGTGAACTGGTAAGCATCACGCTTAACAGGTGATGCTTGCTGGTTATGGTTAACCGGTGGGGGCTGCTTCGGCCCTGGGGGGCCCGCTCCAGGCAGGGGGCTGCTCCCACCTGGCTGCAGTGGGCACGGAGGGCCCCCCCATCTGTCCCCATTTAATCTTAAAGTTTAACCGGTTAACTAAGTCAGCCGGATTTGACGGCCCCTCGCTAGCCATGCACAAAGCTGTGAGCAAGCAGAGAGCGGAGTATTTAACACGTGTGTCCAACACACAAGGTGCCCCTGGTCCTTGCAGCAAAGCCGCAGCTCGGGTACAGCTGGGGCGACTGTGCGGGTCAGGCACAATGACCTGCCATCTGATGGATCTGCAGAGGACCAGGGCCGGTGCCTTGCCTGGAGGGCCTAGGTTGTGGCAGCCGAGGCTCTCCTGAGCTCTGAAGTGAGCCCCACGTGTTCCCGTTGGCGTATCCGCCCGTGTGCCGCCGCTGCTGTGGGGGTGCACAATCAGAGCTTCAGCGTCCCGGTGTCACCCAGCGCCGCGGGCGCCCTTACGCCACCGTGGCACGAAGGGCAGGGTGGCCCTGGCCCCCCGTCGGTTCCCGCGGTCCGGTTGCGGCAGTGAAATGGGACCCGCAGTTTACCGCTCCTGCCCCGAGTTGAGTTCGCCCGCTGTCTGATCTGCCTGGGCTGCTGAGAACGAATGAAACGAACCCTGAGTCCACCCCGGCTTCCCGGAACTGGGCCTGCGCCACTCGCTGTCGTACCAGCCTCCCCCCCCCAAAGTTTGCCCCGCACCCCCAGAAGAGAGGCTGCGTCCGCCGGAGCCCCTCGGCCCCTCCTGCCTCTTTGTGGTCATTTCCGGCGTGTGGGAAGCTGACGTGTGCTTCCCCCGGGCACAGGCCCCATCTTCCGCCTGCTTGGGAACGTGCCAGTCTGAGGTCTGCCAGCCAGCCCCACGGGGCAACCACCAGCTAAGTTAACTAGACATTCGGGCTCCACTCCCTGTTCGACTGACGCAGCTGAAACTCCCTTCTCCTGCTGTCCCAGGAGGGCATGGCCCTGCCTGGCACCTGGAGTAGACTCCAGACTGACCCGGGGAGGGAGGGAGGGAACAGTTACATTCCCTCTCTTAGAGATTCTGGAGTCAGCATGGATCCCGTGACCTGCCCTCTTTGGAGTTGTCAGCCGCGTGAGATTTGAATGGCGGGATTTTCGCCAGCCGGCTGTGGGTGCACGAGGCGGTACGGGGCACATGCAGCCCCGATCCATACCCTGATCACACAGGGGTGAGGTGCTTGTGTGTCTCTGCTAGGACCCACTGCAGCCGGGAGTGCGGGGTAGGGGGGGTCACCTTTTCGAGCAGCCGCCACCAGATTTCTGGTGCGTTGATTCTCCTCTCTCCCTGCCACCTGTTAGGAGCAATCGTTAGACCCAGGCAAGTGGAGGGCGTCCGGATTGGGAACATTGCGATCCTTTGGCATCTTGAATAGCGCTGTGTGTTCCGAACTGTCTTCTCAGCCGCCCCCACGCACGCAGCCAGTCTAGTGGATTGTAAGAGGCAAGCTGCAAAACAGGTGGCCTAGCGCAAGGACGGGGATGGATTTAGTTAGAGAGCTTAGCAGCGGTCTCTGACAGTCCTCCTTGCACCCAGGAGGGGAGCTCTACCTGCTCACCAGCTTGTTGGAGCTGATCAGTCAGACGATGCATCACCGGAGTAACTGCTGTACCGATGACAGGTTACCGGGCTGTGCCTGTGCACCAGGATTTCCTGACCCCAGGCTAGCGCAAGGACGGGGATGGATTTAGTTAGAGAGCTTAGCAGCGGTCTCTGACAGTCCTCCTTGCACCCAGGAGGGGAGCTCTACCTGCTCACCAGCTTGTTGGAGCTGATCAGTCAGACGATGCATCACCGGAGTAACTGCTGTACCGATGACAGGTTACCGGGCTGTGCCTGTGCACCAGGATTTCCTGACCCCAGGCCCTTTCTGAGGCCCCTGTGTCCGTACGCCTGACGGGGCAGGGAGGCTGTTCTCTTTAGGCAGCAATGTTTGCATTGTCACCTGCAGAGTGGGGCAGTTTGCATTGGCTATTCGATTAGTCGATATGGGCGCCGCCGCCTTTGAAGCGTAGCAACAGCCCCAGGGCCGTTGGTTCACGTCAAAAGCGAAAGCGCCGTGGGGAGCCCGGGGCCAGTGGGGGACTCACAGCCACAGGGAGCCCATGGTCAGTTGTCCCCAAGCTCCATGCGGCGCTGCCACTTTGAAATGCTGCGGGGAGCCTGGCGTCAGGCTCCGCATGGTGTTTCAAAGCGGCAGCGCAACCTGGAGCTTGGAGTCAGCGGGGGAGTCCCCATTTGCGTCTTTTTGTTAGAGGCAGCAAGGAGGGGCGGGGAGAAACAGCTAGTCGACTAACGTGTCAACTATCTAATAAGCATTTGCTTATCGGATAGTTGACTGGCCGTTCACATCCCTAATGCAGAGACACGGGGTTACTGTCTTACCCCCTGGGGCATTTTTGTAGCTGGCTGAGGGAAGAATCCTGAAATTGCCAGATCACCGAGTTAGTGTCTGCAAAGCTTAGGGCCTGCTCGACTGCCATAACCGAGCGCCAGCAACGCAAACCTTTGCCACGAACACATGCGCTGCAGCACATGGAAACCGTGAGCCGCATGGGGGCTTTCAGCTGGGGATTTTGACCGGCTGTGCCAGGAAGTTTGGAGCACAAGCTGTTAAGCTTTCCTGGCTGAAGGGTTTTGCTGCTTGCCAAGCTGGCTGTGCTGGGTAAAACATTTAAATCTGAGGATCACGTCCGTACAGGTTGAACCTCGCTAGTCTGGCACCCTCGGGACCTGACTGGTGCCGAACCAGAGAATTTGCTAAACCACAGGAGTGCGCTTTTTTTTTCTTTCCCCGAGCTGAATAAATGGAATAATGCTTGTGATGCTGCTTGATAATGTCTGACCGTACTGATAGACCCTGTATAAGCCTGTTCCTAGCCAAGGCTTGTCAGTGCTCTTCATAGCAAACTGTTATGGTATCAGCACTAAGAAATAGGTAGGTAGAGCATAAAAGCCATGTTAACTCTTCAGAGACTCATAGAACACTAGAACTGGAAGGGACCTTGAGAGGTCATTGAGTCCAGTCTCCGGTCCTCACGGCAGGATCAAGCACCGTCCAGACCATCCCTGAAAGACATTTATATAACCTGCTCTTAAATATCTCCAGAGATGGAGATTCCACAACCTCCCTGGGCAACTTATTCCAGTGTTCAGCCACCCTGACAGGCAGGAAGCTTTTCCTAATGTCCAACCTATACCCCCCCCCCCTTGCTGCAGTTTAAGCCCATTGCTGCTTGTTCTATCCTCAGAAACCAAGAACAATTTTTCTCCCTCCTTTGCAGCATTACCAGCCCTTCCGCTGCTTGCTGGGCTCTTAGAAGGCATGTAGAGGTAATTTAGAGTGAAAGAACAGAACACTGAGAGCCAGGAGGGGTGGCTGTAAACAAACTTTACAGGATCCCAGGAAACTTGGTCCCATCCATGGTAGGCGCACAATCGACTAATTGAAACCCCGCCGAACCACAGATGTTGCTGAATTAGAGAGGTTCAACCTGTAGTAAACAGAGTACTGCGACTGTGATTTTTGAAGTTCTGTACTTCATTTGCGCAGCTGATCCCAAACAGGAAGGACGAACAGGTGCAGGGAGTAGCCACATGTTAGGGTGGTAGTACAGTGCATGGCTACCAGCTTCCATTTGCTCCGAAGCACTCTGACCGGCGTGAGTTGGTTTCTCCTCAGGCTAGCAGGATGTCAGTCCAGGCATGTTTAAATCACTGACTTAAATGATTGATTTAAAATAAAACCTGCTGATTTAAATCCGGTTGATGCTAACTCAACCATACAACAGGTGCATATAAATTTTAGCTTTGCGCTTTATAAAGAAATGCCAGAACTTGGAAGCTATGGACTTGACTTTTACAAAACTACCACCAGCAAACCCACAATGGGCTGAAAATGTCAGTCTCTGATCCTGCAAACATTGTGTGCCCATGTTGGTAGCATCAGATGCAACGCCTGTGTTTTTATTAGCCTTCCTTTTAATGGCATGTCTCACCCTTAAAACCCATTTTCAGTGTTGGCGGTGAAAAGTTGTTTAATTCAGGGGTTCTCAAACTTTGTGATACCGCAACCCCCCTCTAAGTTGCTCAAGAGTCGGGACCCACAGTTTGAGAAACGCTGGTTTAATCTTTAGTCTGTTCTTGACGTTATTGTGAAGGTTCGTACACCACACCCTCCGGGGCAGATTTTCTAAGACCAGACTTTTAACGGTATTTAGACACCTAAGTGACCTAGAAGTTCATGTCTCGTTGACTTCAGCTTACATGGAGGAGCCGTAGCCTAGTGGAAGCATTTCACCCTTTTTTTTTTTTTTTTTAAACATGTCGAGGTTGGATATATTGGAAGATGCTGTTGGTTGCAAATGCAACTCAAGCTACTAGATCTGAGTTTGTGGTACCTTGAAGTCAGGATGTTTATGAAGCTCCAGGATGGGCCTTAAAATGTGAGGTTCATGTCAGGAAAAAAATGAAGGTGGAATCTGAAATTCAGGGGCCAGCTATATGACAAATGGAAGCCTCCCCGTTAGCAATTTCAGACTGTGAAATTGGGGAGACAGTAAAGAACTAGCAACATGTTACAAATGGATTTGAGTTTTGTAAATGGTCTACGTAAAACACTTTTTAAGTCATCACGGCACTGAGCTTGGCCCCCGATTTTCTATCCCTGAGGGCTGAGCCGCCCCTCAGCCCTTCCTGAAGATGGGGTCTTTAATCTTTCTGGCTCTCCTTGTGCTATGGCTAAATGCAGCACTAGACCTACAGCTGGGGAAGCCACGTGGCCAAGAAATGAACCACCTTGTGCAAAGCTGCCCAGCAAGTTCTTCCACTGCACAGAGTAAATATCCGGAATCTGGCTCTGCCTCTGAAAGGCACGTACCCACCTAGGGATGTGCCATCTCCGTGTTCGCGTCCGTGCCGATGCTTGCGGGAGGGGCGTCATAGAGCACGGCTTGATGAGTGCTTGGGATTGGGAAGTCACCCTAGGAAAACGCCTCGTCGGGATCCTGACCAGCATGATGGGCCTAAGCCAGGTGTGGACATGGTCTCTGGCCCCGTGGAACAAGGGTTCCCTGGTAACCGCTACAGCCCTGGTGACCAAATGTTCCGATGTCACAGAGGCTTCCGGAGCTTGGTGCCAGGAGCCGGCTCCACCGTGTGGTTCAGGTTCTGCTCTGGCTCCTGCCTCTTCGCGGGGATGGGGAGGGGCAGCAGCGATAAAGAAGCTGCTGCAGCAAGTGGGTGGGGCAGGGGGCTGGCGGCAGGGGGCTGTTAACCGAGGCTGGTAGAGCTAACAGATCATGAAGGACAGCCAGAGCGAAATCTGAAACGGCGGGTGGCCAGGCCAGACCTGTGCGGGGCTGTGACCCCGCGTGCCAGGTCGCGCGGTGCAGGGGCCCTCTCGGGCAGAGGGGCTGTGGCAGACTGGACGGAGACAGTGAGGAAAAGCTGCCCTTCCGCCCTCAGGAAAGGGCAGGGTTTCCCCTGCACTCGGGTCTTCTCTTCTAGCAGCCTCAGCTGCCTGGTTTTCCAAGGGGCGAGGCCAGCAAGTGTCAGAGCGAGATCTGTCCTGGGAGGCGCTCGTGGAAATGTTATGAATGATGCCATCGAATGGGCTGCAGAAGACGAATTGGAGCCCCAGCTGTTCAGGGCTTGCTGTACTCCAGACAGGGCAGTTCTTCCCCCAGGGCCTAGCCGCTTTTGGACAGATTTAACCCCTGAGAGTCCGACCCTCCCGGGTGTGCGCTTAGCTCTGGTCTCTGATGGGTCAGCCAGATCTGCAAGGAAGCGCTGATGCGGAACCCTTTTACAACTGCCCCCTAAGAGCAGCGACAGCTTTCGCCTTCCTGCCCGGCTGTGTGAATGCCGGGAGGTACCATTCTCCTCTGTCAGGTGTACGCGAGGGGTCCGGACCCTCCTTGCTCCCTCAAGCCCACGTTTAAAGAGACCGCGTCGCCCAGTGGCTAGAGCAGAGGAGTGCATGACAGAGCTTTCGGGTCCCCGGCTCGGCTTCGCTTTGGGAAGTCGACGTGCTTGTGCGAAGCAGCTCCTCTTTCCCCTGGGAGGGTTGTGAGGTGGGCGCTCTCACTGGCTTTGCCCAGCTGCCCTGGGCTGCCGGGGGGCCCGAGTGACCCACAGAGCGACAGGCCGGGAGTCAGGGAAGTCACGGCCTCCTGTGTTTCCTTCCCCGCGCAGGCTCCCCACTGCGAGCACGCCTTCTGCAACGCCTGCATCACCCAGTGGTTCTCCCAGCAGCAGACCTGCCCCGTGGACCGCAGTGTAGTCACGGTCGCTCACCTCCGCCCCGTCCCCCGCATCATGCGGAACATGCTCTCCAAGCTGCAGATCACGTGCGACAACGCTGTGTTCGGCTGCACGGCCGTCGTGCGACTCGACAACCTGATGTCTCACCTCCACGACTGCGAGCACAACCCAAAGCGGCCGGTGACGTGCGAGCAGGGATGCGGGTGAGGGTCGCCCCCTGGAGCTGGGGAAAGGCCTGGCTCGTGTTCCAAAGGCACAGAGGCCTGGAGTGACTTGGCCTGAGGGCGCTGCGCTCAGTCAGCCTGCTCCCGCAGGGGCAGAGGGGGGCACTAGCCAGTCAGCGGCGGAGCAGGGACACTGGCCAGATGTGCTGCTGTAAACTCCCAGCACTGCCCTGGGGGTGTAAGCGACGAGTCAATTTGTTTTTATTGCCTTGCCGCCCCCCTTCCTGCCCCCCCCCCCCGCCCCAACACAGGCAGCAAGCTGGGGGGAAGCAGGAGATAGTGCTGGGGGGAGCCAGCTTAAAAGCCGGTTCTCCCCAGCACCATGTCCACAGAGGAATAACAAGGACCAGGCATGAGTCGGGAATCAGCTGATTCCTGACGCCTTTCCCCGCCCCCGACGCTGCGACTCTGCCGGCTCTTAATTGAATTTAAAAATCAGAAGTGCAGAGGGGGGGACCGGCCGGCTCTTCATACATTTCAAAGGCAGAGCCGCAGCAGGGCGAGCTGCCGGGACCGGGAGTTAACCCCTCTGCGGCTCCCCTGCTTGTTGGCTATATTGAACTATATTTAACATCCCTACGTTGCCCACGGTGGTGCCCTGGGCTATCCAGGGCGGCCATCATGGCCCAGTCTCTGGGCCTGCTGGCAGCTGGTGTCCTGCTTTTCTTTAAATCTCTTGAGCATCCAGCCCTGGAGACGGGGGGAGGGATGTTCCTCGGCACCGTGGCAGGTAAAGGCTGGCATCAGTGAGACATCTGGCCTCTTCTGCATGGAACGACTCCACCGTCCCCCGGTCGGCGAGAGCAGGGCGTTTGGGCTCCAGCCTGTGCCTCGGTGAGGCTGCCCCCCAGGACAGCCGCTTGCTGGCTGGGTATTATGATGCACAAGCTGGGCTGAGGCCACTGTCTCTCTGGTCGGGTGAGGACTAAGGAGCCTGGCTGACGGTGAGGGGCTTCGTGTAGTGGGTCCGTCTACTCCAGCAAGGGCCAGCACCAGCTGTTCCGAGCAGGGCAGATGTGCAGTAGGCAGATGTGGGATCCTCTCTCCCCACCCCCCAACATCACCCTGATCCCCAGTGGCTTAAACCCTCCCTCCCGAGAGCTGAAGATCCTGGCCAAAACTCTGTGGTTCGTTCTCACTCGGGCCCACGTGATCTCCCGCTGTACGGCCCCCAAGCGTCCCCGTGCGTAGTGGGAGGTGGCTGGGTCCTTGGCAGCATGTTCTCCTGGCAAATCCCGGCCCTGATCTGCCCCTCCCCCGTCCGTTCTCTCCCTCTCCCTGCAGCTTGGAAATGCCCAAAGACGAGCTGCCGAATCACAACTGCATCAAGCACTTGAGGTCCATGGTGCAGCAGCAGCAGACCAGGATCGCCGAGCTGGAGAAGACGTCGGCGGAACACAAGCACCAGCTGGCGGAGCAGGTAGCTGCTTTCCTGGGTAGGGAGGCGGGGGGGGAGGGGGGCGTGTTTCTGGCTCGGGCCTCTAGGGCCTAGCATTGCCTTAGGTACGGGGGGAGGGTCCTCCTTGAGGCACCAGGCCGGTCATTCAGGGTATGTCTAGACTACATCCTCTGTCGCCAGAGGGATGTAAATTAGACCTACCGAAATTGCTAATGAAGCGGGGATTTAAATATCCCGTGCTTCATTAGAATAAAAATGGCTGCCGCTTTTTGCCAACGTGGCAATTTGCCAGCAAAAAGCTGCAGTCTAAACAAGGATCAGCCGTCAAGGAAAGCCTTTTCCCGCCGATCCCTTATGCCTCGTGCAACGAGGTTTACAGGATTAATCGGAAAAGGCTTTCCTTGCTGAACGATCCCCATCTAGACTGCCGCTTTTTGCCAGCAAATTGCCACAGCGGCACAAAACAGCGGCCATTTTTATTCTAATGAAGCGCGGGATATTTAAATCCCCGCTTCATTAGCAATTTCGGTAGGTCTAATTTACATCCCTCTGGCGACAGAGGATGTAGTCTAGACATACCCTCAGTGTTCTTCTGCTGCCACTCTGACCAGCAAGAAGTTACACAAGCAATCCCCTCAGACACTCCAGCTTTCCCTGTGCCGCAGCCGGCACCCTCCTTACACAGGTAAGAGGTTATCAAGCCAGTTTCTCCAGATCCGAACAGGTTCTCCCGATTCCAAAGGACCAGCCTCAGCACCGTTGATAGCTCAGATGTTAACCCACAGAGCCCGCTGGGCCAACCCTTTAGAATCTAACGGCTCATTAATAAAAAGAAAGAAAAGGTCGAGAGGAGAACGGTAAAAAGAAAGCCCGTTACACGTATCAATGGCTACGTTCTTGATGCAGGCCCTGCACAGAGATATAACAAACAGCTGGCTTCAAAGTCTCCGGCGCGCATCCTCTGTTAGGATGGGCCTGCTCTCCTTACCCGCTCTGTTACCACAGAGATGCTTCTGAAACACGAGCAGGAGTGAAGACAAAGATGGAGATGGAGGAACCACAAATCTTGTCCCTGTGGAGGGAAATCCATCGTTCCTCTGAGTGATGGTAACTCCCAAAATAGGGCTGATCTCATAACTAACGTGGCCATGTCCTTTTCAGGCAAGGGGCCATGGGGCACCCAGGCATGTCCTTTTCAGGCAAGGGGCCGTTGCGTACTCCTCAGGTATCTGTTGGCAACCCTAAAGAGCCATTGTCCATGCAGCAAAGCTATTCGCTGGGTCGCTCCCCCTCCCTCCCCAAAAATAGGTGGGTGACGCCTGCTGCTGTCTCCCGGACAGAAAACATTTAAAATACAAGCACAGAGCCCCTGCTGGTACCTTTGCATCCAAAAACCATCCATGCGCATGGGCAGCACAGACGGACTCAGCACGGCATGAGCTTTCATTAGACCGTGCAGCCGCAGCCTGCATGTTTCTATTAAATTCCAATAAGGTGACCCGTGGCGGCCCCCCTCTGTGTTAGGCTCTCGCAGGGCTAGAACTCTGACCTCAGTCTGTTTCAGGACTAGGGCCCTACCAGATTCACAGCCCTGCAAAATGGCTTCTGGATTATGAAACCTGGCCTTTGGTCTGCTTTTACCCGAGAACGTGCATATTTCACAGGGGAAGATCAGCCTTTCTCAAGCTAGGGGTCCTGACCCAAAGGGGAGTTGCAAGGGGATCACAAGGTTATTTTAGGAGGGTCCCTATGTTACCACCCTTATTTCGGTGCTGCCTGCAGAGCTGGGCAGCTGGAGAGCGGGGGTTGGAATGAGCGGGGGTTGGCCAGGCGCCCAGCTCTGAAAGCAGCACCCGCCAGCAGCAGCGCAGAAGTAAGGGTGGCAACACCGTACCCACGTCACCTTTCTGTGCTGCTGCTTTCAGAGCTGGATGGCCAGAGAGTGGGTGGCTGCTGACGAAGAGCCCGTCTTAGCAGGCAGCAGCAGGGAAGTCAGGGTTTTCCACCATCCGAGTGTTAATAAGATGGCCAGGTCCCCTGCTGCCAGGTGGGGCCGCACAGAAAACCTTTGTGCTCAGTGCCTGGATTGCATCCCCCTTCCAGCCTGGTGGGGAAGGAGGGAGAGCCAATCGGCACGTGCGAGGGACTCCTGCCTGTTGCAAACATCTCTGCCTTTGCCCTGTCTTTCAGAAACGGGACATCCAGTTGCTGAAGGCCTACATGCGAGCCATCCGCAGTGTCAACCCCAACCTGCAGAACCTGGAAGAGACCATTGAATACAACGAAATCCTAGAGTAAGTGCTGCTGCTAACGTGCAGTCCTGGTTGGAACGGTCCATCCCGCAGCGAGGCGTGTTCAGGAGGCAGACCTGGGGATCTAAGGCATCACGCACGCACGCACCCCTGTGACAGTGAAATCTGGCAGCCTAACCCTGCTCACGTTAAGGGGTCCCAGCAGCTGTAAAATTCTGTCCCTGCAGCGAGTTCCAAAGCAGGGCGCTGCCCCTCGGTTTCCTGCCAGCGAAAGGGAGTTGGTACAAATGGGGTGTGGTCCGGTCTTTGCACCAGTCCAGCACAGAGGGCACCAGGTCGAAGGCCCGACTCGGCACAGCTCAGGGACACTGAATTCCACCAAGTTGGCCTCAAAGCACAGGGAGAAGGTTTTCCTCTGGAGCAGTGTTTCCCAAATTTATTTGGCCAAGGAACCCTTTTCAGCTTGGGGTGCCTGGAACAAATTTAACAAAAAAAAAAAAAAAAAAAAAAGCCACTAAATAGACTGTCTCTTTAAGAGGGGGTGGGGGAAGTGCCACGTTCTCGCGGAATCCTTACTTCTGCTTCGTGGACCCCCGGGATTCCGCGCAGCACCAGTTGGAAAACGCTGCTCTGGAGGCTCTCGGATGTGGGCGTTCCCGGGAGTTTGGTGCCTCTGCTGCCGGAACATGGGCAGCATCTCGTCCACGGGGGGCCCCGAAAGCTGGAAAATTGCAGCTTCTCTGCTCACCCCGTCTGCTGGCGTTGGAGGTGAAGGCTGCGCTAGGGGGGAGGAGACCCCAGATGGTCGGAGCAGGCGGCTCGGAGAGTCTGGGTGGGGAAGCCAAGCCCATGGAGAACGTCCAAGGCCATTCTGGGTTGCTGTAGAACAAGGCCTTGGAACCCTGCCTGGGTGGCTCCCCTGGGGAGGACCAAAGAGAGGACTGTCAGGGCCTGGAAAAGGGTGTTGCTGGGAAGGAGGTTCTGCGAGGGGGCCGAGGTCTGTGCCTCACGCCTCCCGGCCTAGTCCCTTCTCGCAGCCCCTATATGCTGGGACGAGAGCGAGCGGCTGGCTCTCCGCTAGGGTTCCCAGAGACAAGCTGGGGGGGAGTTCTGGTTCCGGAGGGGGCCCCTATGTTCATTTGGGCTGTCCTCTCTGAGCTGGCTCTGTCTTGAAGGAGGTTCTGCGAGGGGGCCGAGGTCTGTGCCTCACGCCTCCCGGCCTAGTCCCTTCTCGCAGCCCCTATATGCTGGGACGAGAGCGAGCGGCTGGCTCTCCGCTAGGGTTCCCAGAGACAAGCTGGGGGGGAGTTCTGGTTCCGGAGGGGGCCCCTATGTTCATTTGGGCTGTCCTCTCTGAGCTGGCTCTGTCTTGTACCTCTCCTGGCCGACGCCCCTTAAACAGTCTGAGGTGGCTGGCCTGCCGGCTTCCAAGGCTCCTGTGGAAGGAGCCGTCACCGCCGCCTGTGAACGCACCCCGCCCCTGTCTCCAGGCGCCGTGCTCTCTTTCCG